ATGACGTGACCGGAAATTTTTAGGGGATTATATCTCGCGAAAGGTAGCGAGTAAGGGTATGATTTCTTTGACTTTATTGTTCGCACAGGGGGGCTACAGTTTGGGGGTCGCCACTCCTTCATTCGGAGGGTAAATCTTACCATTGGGACTTTAAGGGAGCTGTAGAGCATATTGATAGGAACAAAAAAGTTAAAGGAACCGTGCCTAATGGAAATTTGTAAAGAATGTCCACTACGGGGCGTCCCGGGCTACTATTAATTTCTAGATCACTCTCTTGTATCCTGTTGAACTTATATCATAACTGATCCACATCCCATTTGTTTTCTGGACAAAATTTTTTTCTTTCTTCGTTAAGTCACGAAAATAATAATCAATGTCATCTGGCCCATCCAGGTTAATTTTTTTATCGTCGAATGTAATATTTTGCCACCGAGTATTATAAGATGTGTTGTCTGCAAGATCCAAACGCGCATCCTTTGCCGTGGCAGTAGTCTTGGATCGCACTTGATTTTCTTTATACTAAAGTTGGAATTGGACTTCAATAGGCTGGACATTTCTAACATTGATTTCCTCGCCTCTTTCAGCAGCTATTTTCTGAGCAGACCTTTAGAAATTAGATGCACATCTTGGGGCGGATCTAGGTTTTTCGGGGCCTAGGGTTTATTCAAATTTAATAGGACCCAATTTTTACCGTTTTTACCAAGCCTAACCTATTAACTAAGGATGCACCGATAAGCAAGATGGCCGATTACCGATTAATCGGCCAAACTATAATCACAGTTAATANATCACATTAAATAATCACAAAATTAATATATTTTAAATAAAACAATTGTCTATTTTATTTTTTTTTGCTTCGTATCTAGTTTTATCTAATGATGTCTTTTTCAAATATTGAGGACCTTATTACTTGACAAGTTTAGACTTACGAAATTGTCCCAACCTTGTAACTAAAAATGCATAGAAAATTGGGATTTTACTTGCGGCCCACGTTAATTTTATCCCGTGTTTCCTTCTCCCGTTCACTCAACAGACAATCTAGACTTTTCAAATTGTTTTCTAATGAGTCGACCGTTGTGGCAAGTCTAGTAATAAGGCATTACAGCAAATAAAGAAATTAAAATACTTATTTATAATAAAATGCTTATTTCACTATTCTCAATCCATTGCTAGGAATTAATCATGCGAGGAGTAAAATTATAAAAATTAAAACTACAATAATTCATGGTTAAAACACGAATAGTAATACAATTGGTAGGATTACAACAATTATTTCCTCTAAAACCCCAAAACGAACATTTAAAGGGAGAACAAATAGATAAAATGATTTTATATAATACTTTCACTTATATGACAAGTATTATACGTAATTATTATCACAAAATGTACAAGAATCTAACATTTTCAGCCCTCTAATGTAATAAAATTTCTCTTCACAAAAATAAGAAATAACGTGTGACGAAAAGATAAGCTCATACTATAAAATATTACAGTTGAATATATTTGTAAGAATCTCTTGCACGACTCAATTTAAAGATGCGATAATCCTGATGTATTTCTTCCCATGAATTAATAATTGCCATCTGTAGTTCTTGTGTTGTTATAAATTACTTTCCGTCGTTGAACACTTTAGCAGAAAGCAATCACTAAAGATTTTCTATAGGATTTATATCAGGAGATAATGCAAGAGTCTGAAAACATTTAATTTTCTTTGTGTGTATTTCATCATTGTTGTGAGAAAACTGCCATTTAGAGCCTACGATTAATCGTCCAAACTGTGGAAAATGTTTCTTTAATAGCTGAATGCATCATTCATCATTGTGATGACCACTAATAATTTCTAGATCACTCTTCTTGTATCCTGTTGAGCCCATATCATAACTGATCCACCTCCCATTTGTTTTCTAGACAAAGTTTTTTTTTTCCTTAAGTCTCGAAAATAATAATCAATGCCATATAGGTTAATTTTTTCATTGTTGAATTTCATATTTTGCGACTGAGTGGTGTATGATGTGTTGTATTGCAAGTTCCAAACGTGCATCCTTGTGCCTTGCATTGCACTTGATTTTCTTCATACTGAAGTTGAAATTAGACTTCAATAGTCTGGACATTTCTAACATTGTTTACCGCACCTTTTTCGGCAGCTATTTTTCGAGCAGACCTTTAGGGGTTAAAATAGCACATTTTTTGCGAAGAACAAGAAATCATATTCAAATGGGAAATTATTTAAACAAGCTTTACTTATTGGCGCCGATTCTCTGTTTGATACTTTTTCTAATAAGTCAGAAATAATTAGGGCAATAAACGATTTACAGTTGTCACGCAATACAATAAAAAGAAGAACTGCGGCAATATCTACCCATATTAAAGATCAACTTGAAGCCGAAGGTGCTCTTGGTATTCGCTTCAAATGGACGAATCTTTGGATGTAACGGGGACATCTCAATTAATACTAATAACAACAATGTTTTTCGAAGACTACTCTGTGAAAGAAGAAATACTGTGGCTTTTGCCAATAATGGAGAGAACGAGAGGTAAAGTATTTATCAAGTTTTTTTTAAAAATATATTTTGGAACAACAACTTTCCTTACATAAATTATCTTCAATTACAACTGACTGAGCTCCAGCAATGATCGATAAAAATAAAGGATTTATAACTTTATGTAGAAAAGATGAATCATTTCCAAATTTTTTTTTTTTTGTTTACCATTGCATAATACACCACAGCAAGTTCCGTGTACTAAAAGAAATAACAAAAAGGGGAAATTTATAATCAACTGGAAGATCCTAATTGGCTACGTGACTTAGCTTTTTTAGCTGATATTTATCAGAAATTAAATCAGTTAAATCTTGAACTACAAGGTAAAAATAAAGATTTAGTACATACGTTAAGTGATATTAGTAGAAGCAGAAGATTAAATCCACTTAATCACAAGAACGAACTATTGACCAGAAGTAAATAGATAATTTCCTAATCAAAACCTTGAAGCCTTGCATTAAGATAATTGTTACATTCGATAATATAATTGAAAAAGAAAGAAGAAGGAGTTGATAGAATTTTAAAAATGAAATCATGCTTTATAGACGTAATAAATTAGTAAAATTTAACAGTTTTTGTATAAGAAGTTTTTGTCTTTATGTACGTAAATTACGTGTTCAAACATATTAAAAGTACAGTGTATTTAATATTGCTAATCAATGTCGTATAATACAAAACAATGAGAAAGTTTTAAGGTAAATGTGACTCTAAGATGTGACGAAACAACAGCTTAACCTGTTTGCGTGATACATTATACTAAAAGAAATTGATATTATACTTATATATCTCTATAACAATGTGAATTTATTATCTAATATACATTAAAAATACCTCATTGCATATTATTAATTAAATATTAAATATATATAGTTATAGGAAATATTCGTATAAAGTGTTTAAAGTGTTTACTTACCGGGTTAACGTTTCTCAGCTTGCAGCTTCTCGATAAACGACATGTAGTGTGATGTACAACTGCCTTTTTATTAAATTCAAGGCCAAATGCTAGAGCAAAGCCGTCAAGTGGTGCCATCTTTTATAATAATCTGCATGTATTTAAATATGAATGTAAGATAACATAAAGTATTTTACCTATATACATTAATTTTTAGTTATTAAAAATATTAACTTTTAAGTTCGTTCGTCTAAATTTAATTTTATGCTTTCGAATCTTATTTAAATGTATAAAATATTAGTTTTTCCAGGTAATTTTCATCTTTTTGTATAGACTTCAAGTTCGATAGACAATAGAATGGATCATGATTACGATAATGAAACGTTATTATATGAATACTATCGTATTTGAAGTCATTTAATTGTTAAAGCTGTGATACACGAAGACGTTGAAACTAGTTAAGGCTACAGAACAGACTAAAGACATTCAACTCTACAAGAGTATGATCCATTGCAGTTATTAAGAGAAATAACCATTGAGTCTGAGATAGAAACGGTATTTTCTTGTGTAAATCCGTTTAAACAATCCCTTAAAACTGTACAAAGTGTACTTTATATTTTGAACTATTTTTAAAATAACTATAAGTGTCTCAGCAGGGCAGAAATGGAGTATAAATGTTTCGCATGTTTCACTACAGCACAAGTGTAAAGAATGACAGATACATTTCCTAACAAATATTTCAAGCATATAGTTTTTTTCGCCCATCGTAACATTACCCCCGTCTGAAACAAATCAAATTATAGAATGTAAGCAACTACAAGAGTTTAAATGAAGCACGAATAGATTTTCTCACGTAGTTTCTGCAATTGATACTACAGTACTGTATAAGAATCATTTGATTCTTAACTTTCCCCGCAACATTTTGTGGCGACATCTATTACCATATTTTATTAAAAAGGACTTTTTATATTTTTAATTATTATAAAATGGAAATAATAACTTAATTTTGAAGGTAGGAATGTGTTATATAAAAAGTTATAAACGCTATTAACAAGTAAAATTGTTATTAAGTCAAACTCTACTCGAGATATGACACCACCTCTTTATCTCCTCACCACCAAAATTTAACAGCACTACCCCCCCTAACACACAAACTTCCATGCAAAATTTCATAAATTTTTGACAATTGGCACCGGAGTTATTAAGCTTCAAAGTGGGTGAAAATTATGCTCTTTCCCACACACTAACATCCATACATACAAGAAAAACAATCCGAGATTTTTTATCATTTCTCGACATTTCAAAGTCTCCCGAGTTCAAAATTGTAAAAATCTTGGGGATCATTTTTTGACCGATTACTAAACTTTTTCTCTTTTATTTATAACAGCTGGGAGAGTAAAAATGTTTCTGTAAACACACCATCCCTTGTAACGCTTCTTAACGATTACCTGCAGAGCCATTCGCCTATATCTGCATAAAGTAATTTATGGACAGCCCTGTACAAATATATTATTATAGTATTGTATTCAATGCCTGATGTATATATTTCGAAGTAAAATGTTTTAATATCTTTTCTATTAAAATTACTTTTATTATAGTTTGAAAACTTACATATTTTTGGAGTACGCAAAAGATATAATCACACTTTCAGACATTGTTTGTACACTAAATGATGAAAAACCATTTCGGATAATCTTTCAAATTTTATTGTTTCTATGATTTTATTACTGCCATCGTGAAATAAAATTATTCAAATAACAAAATTATTTATTCCATATTTTCATCAAATCACTACCTTTTGTTTTTTCTTTAATTCTTTCTTCCATTCTCCTTTCCTGTTCGGGACTGAAGTGGTTTTTCCAATCTCCGACTATACCTTTACGAATAAACTGGCCATCTACTTTTATTGAGAAACGGGGATGTTTCTTCATATATTCAGCAAATGCCCTAACTCCAGACGGCAGATTATCAAGATTATCCGGGGTTTTTATAAATATATCATCAAACGATTCGTTCATTGTTTTTTTCATGTAGCTGACACTACTATACTCGAGAACTTTATCGAGAATATCCGGATTATTTACTAAAGTTTCATAATGCTCCTCTCCCATAAATTTTGCTAACTTTAATACTTCTCCTCGAGTATCGCTTTTCAAATCTTCATAAGTAAGGAAGTAGACGTTGGGATCATCCTTATGCTCGTACCACGATAAGTGATGATCGAAATAATCTCCGAAATCTGTTTCGCCTTTGACGAAAAGTTCGAAATATTCATCGAAAGTGCCATCGCTGAAGTTATAAAAACCGATCATTTTTGTATGATGGTAAAAAGAAACGCAGCAATCTTTAGGATTTCTTGCAACGTAAATATATTTTGCGTGGGGCGAAAATGGTGTCAGACTAAAAGGCAAATGAGTTTTAATTGCTCCGGGGTCTTCCATGTAGTCTAACGCATCGGCTCCTGCAAATTCTATGAAAGGAGAGTTCTTTGCATAATCCAACGCATTTGCGATAGGTCGCCCTTTTCGCACGATGCACATGATTATGCATTGCATCCACGTCGTTCCACATTTCGGATACGTTGCCACATATAATTCTCCTTTTTTTGGTTTATACTTGATTGCCGAACGAAATGCTTCTGGCGAGAATGCGCCCGGTAAACGGAAACCGTCGACGTCTATGTAGTTAGGTCTTTTCATTTGGTCTTCCATTGTAACCTGCAATAAGAAAATATAACGGTCAAATAAAAATAATATGAAGTTAATTTGTAGACGTATATTATAAACCTGTTTAATATGAGTAACGAACAATGGACTGAATTTTGATGACGTGTCATTACATTACATATATAATCATAAAATAAACGTACAAACGAAATATATACAGTCTGCAGACAGGAAATCTATCGATACATTTACATTACCTTCAATTAAAATGTCAATAATACTTTAATAAATGTCAGTGAATGAGACTTTTTTTAATGTAAAATAACCTTAAAAATTATTCTAGATGATAATAAAGATAAAATAAAAAAATATAGAATAAAATTTTATATCTAAAATGAAATCTTATAGTAAATAAACCAATTAATATATATTTTTATACAGGTTATAACGTTAGTTATATTATATTTATGATTTTCTTAAGTACTAGAAAATTATTATTATTCTACTTACTTTTCGTTCAATTTATATTTTAAATATTCCCTAGTTTTAACTTCTGCTAAGCGAACTTTACTGTTATTACTCCTCTTTAAATATAACCTTGAGGGATAACTACGTCTACTTTGTTGTAATCCTCTGACGTAAATTGCCCTGTTTTGTAGGTTTAAAGTTCACTTTTCGCTAAAAATGAGGTTAGTGAATGCAGATATAATTGACGAGAAATGTTACGAATTAGCAAGAAATTTTATCATTGTAAAATTCATATATATATATATATATTGCTCTAATTTCCTCTATACTCTAAATAAATAAACACTCGTAACAATTGTTTTATTAATAA